AATTTTGTGTCAATTTGCTACGAGTTTGAAAAAAGCCATTGCAAAAATCAGTCATATTTGATCGAAATAGCAACAATTTTAAAAGCTGTCGCTAAACTCCTCACAAATGACATTTTTTCCTCACCGTCATAATTTTTTGTTGCCTAGCGATGATTTAAAAACCGTTGCTAATTTTTCATCGCAAACTACAATTATTTTTGTAGTGTTTGATGAGACAAATTTTGAATTTTAATAGTTGTTTGAACGATAAATGGGTTTTCCTCACATTTAAACCTTGTATTCTTTAAACAATTTATTAAGACCATCTATTTTTTGAGAAATTTGTTCTTTCGGACCCTCTATCATAACGTCACCTATCAATAATTGATACATAATTTAGATTTCTTAATTTACAAAATTACGTATCGATCATTAATTGATAATTTTATAATCGGGGATCTAAAGCAATTAACCTCGTCCATAATAGACTATATATATATAAAGAGAAATTTTAATATTTTTTGGCAAGGTCAGTGTAACTTAAATAAATATCTAGAAGTATCTTAAGCAAGATATTTATCAAACAAAAATATCTGAAAATATCATGGGTCAGGTGGCATATGGAGGGTTGTACGCATATTTATTTGTTCAAGCTATATCTGGCCGATCCAAAACAATTATTTTGCCCTGCATGCCCTCTTTTTACTATCCATACAATATTTGGCATGTTTTAATTTAGCATACATTCTCTGTATCTCCAAAATAATATTTTTTTCCCCCATGTGATCAGCCTTCTGCTAGATTAATCCTGACTGTTGTTTTGTCTTTTACTTATTTATTTATTTATTTTTTAACTCATCAATGACCGCTGTTTATATTCTTGATGAATAAGAACCACGTTACTTTCTTCAATTTCTTTTCTTCTAAATCTGTCTATATTTCTTGTTCTACCATGTTTAATTAAGCCAGCAACACACTCTCTAATTCTTGTGGTGATTAGCTTTCTGCACGTTAAATCTTAAAAATTCACAGTATATAGCTGTCTATATATACCAATAAAAATGTATATATGTGCATGTGATATCTTAAATATTTAACCAAAAGAGACATGGGGATCAAAAGGAAAAAAAATCAAAGCAAATTATATTGTTGGTACTAAAATCTGTATGTTTTGATGCCTTTGACCAAGAGGAGTGAGAAGCTCACAACCATATGTATTCCTGAATTAGCTGCATCAATTAGTTAGACCTACAAAAAAATCTGGAAAAATATCTTTCAGGTTGAAGTTATTTAATTAGGAAGATGCATAAATGTGTTCTCCATCGAAGTGCTTATTATATGTTATCTGATCCAAAACTATCTTTGGATGCTTAATTATATCACATTTCATTTCGTTTCAGCTAGCATATCGTGCTCAAGTAATAAGTACCCATGCCATGCATGATCGCCATTTCCACGTTCTTTTGCTCACATCCTCTAAATTATTAGCAGTTGCTTCTAGCTAGTCTTGTATGTGTGGTTATGGTCCATTATTTAGAGGTCAGGTATTCTCATAGTCTATATTGGAATTAAAAAATCAGTAGTTACAAAATAGCAAAGCAAGACAAAAAAATTTTAATTCCCAACCAAAAAAAGAAGAAGCAAAAACAGTAAATTTGAAAATATTATTTAAGAAACCAAAGTATTATTCTTTTTTTAATGGAAAAAAAAATGGAAGAACCAATCATTACATGTAGGCTAGCTGCACAAATTACAAAATAGAGATTGTTCGTGAAAGTTACAAACTAACCCCAATATAACAAAAAACTTGGCCTAGTTAAGCTTTTTAATTACAAATCTTAATTAAATGATTTTGAATTAGGGATCATCGGCATCTCACCAATTAAACTGATGATAATAACTCTATAAACGTCGATCGACATAGCAAATATTTTGACTGTTTTTCCTTGTACTCAAGTAGTACTTGCCTTGGAGCATACTTAATTAACTAATTCAATAATAATCAACATATATACAAGAATGATGATTTAAACAACAACCTCTGACTCAAAGCCACTGAGTTTTATTTGTGTAAGGAATCTATATATGATCTTTTTCCTATTCGTTAGGTATAAGGTTCGGTATATTTATTTATCCCATCCTAAAAGTTTATCAGCTTTTTTAATTATTTTGTCACCCTATACAGTATTATTTTTTGATATAAACAAAAATAGAGCCCCGTATAATTGTTCCCTTCTAAAACTATTGTATAATGCTAGACAAAGACAGATATCTGAACCTTAATTAAATACAAAATCAGGGGACCGCAGTACTCCGAACTGGACAAACCTCTCAAGATAACTTATCTTTATGAATTGTTGACTCAAAAACCTATAGATCATGCGGTCCGTTCTTAATTATGATCTTTCACAGATTCGACACGTTTACATTCTCCATATATGCTGTCTCGGTTGTACTTCCATTTCTCTTCTGTAATTCCATATCTTGCATTTTTGGATGTGTTTAGATTCAACCATACCAAGATATTTTTTTCCCATGTGACCTTTGTCTCTTTGCAATACGACATGACATCCACAATATTGAAACTGGTATTCAATTATTGTCATTGTTGAATAATTAACGAAAACCCTCGTGAAAATGGCTCATTAGTTTTTTTTCCCCCTAATAAAAGTCTTTAAGGGTCTTGAAATATATAATAAGAGTAGTTTTTAATTTGTAAGATTAATAATGCTAAATATTAAGAAAATATGATAAGAAAAAAGTCAAAAAATATATATTAATTGTTGGATCATGATTTTAAAATGGAATTCAATTATAGTTTCCATAAATCTAACAACTCATGTATATTTTTAGAATTTTTTCTTGTTATATTTTTCTAATATTTGACATTACTTCTTTCTTAATCCTTAAATCCCACTCTCCACCGCAGCCCTTCCATATTTTGATCAATTTGAGATGAAAATCTCAAATCTTAATTAATGTTAAAGTATCTCTAGAATTTTGATACGGTTTAATGGCAAAACAAGTTCTTGGGGTTTCAATTTTTATCACATTGAATCCTTAGTTGTAAAAAGAGGCAATTAGATCCTTAATTAATAAGGTTTGAATTTTGGAGGAAAAAAAGAGTTATTAGGTACCTTATATCAATTCCTTTACCAAACTTCCATTAAAGTCAATGGCCAAAATAGTAAAAAAAAGTCCATGATCACCATTGATCAAAATTTTTGCTAATCAGAGCGTGCTACGTGTAATTGTTATTTAAGCTCATAATTTTGACTTTAACAATATATATATATATATATATATGATAACACGAAGACAGCCACTAACATATAATACTTATTAATTGCAAATTAATTAAGTGGTTAACATTAATTTCTATCGCAAAACTATTCAATGATTTGTAACAACATGAATTCTCTCGTCTCAGCATGTTTGGCTTTTCTCATTACAAATTAATACAAGTGATATGATCCATATATATATGTAGGTGATAATCTTCCACATTTACTGGAAGAGATTACGACCTTTTTTTTTTTTTTTTTTGTGCATAAAATGGCGGATCCTTGATAAAGATTCTGTTTGGGGACAAAGAGTAGTGTTACCTTTGAGTGATTTATGGCCGCAATGTGCCAACTTGTGGGGAAGTGCGTGAACACAGTGAGGGCAGACCTAAGTTCTATTTCTCTGTCAAACTCAATTAATCAATTTCTCATAAATCCACGTTTTTTGGAATCATATATCAATAATTACGTGTTAATACTCACAAAACAAGAGGTTACCAAGCTTCTAATCTATTAATTTGACAGTTTTTGTCCAAAAAAAAAAAAAAAAGTAATCCTTTTGGCAATTCAATAAAACTTGGTTTGACTTTAATTGAGCATGCCCAATATAAAATGCCATATATGGCCGCATTTATACAGCCTTTCTATCCTAATTAATCAACTTCATTAATCCAACTCTCACATATCATGCGCACTTTGCATCAAAACTAAAGCTAACCCTAAAATTCTTGAAGTTAATGTTACCTTTTAGCACACAAATAAATATGCATAAAATCCCCTCTACAATTTCCCAAGTTGACAGTGGAGGCAGTGCTGTTTGCTAGAATAACAGTTGTCTTGCAGTCGAATTATTGTGAAAATCCATAGCTTGGGGTTGGGGCCAGGGCAATAAGCATGCCGATCCTTTCTTCTTTAGCTGTGCACAAAGTGGCATGCACGCGTGCACATTAACAGATATCATCACTTCTCATTTTTCTTACAAAAACATGATTTCTCATTAGAGAAAAATGCTACCACGGGTTGCACTATATATATACATACGAGGTGCTATAACTTAGATGCTATAGATTCATTTTTCACCTCATTATTTTGAATTTAAATATAATTAAAAAGATATAGGATATTTATAATCTGATCTGAAAATATTTCAATAATTAATTTAAAATATAAAAAGGGAGATCTCTGTCACTTCTTGCGAGTGGACTCATAAAATTAGTGACTAATTTATTCATGAGTTTGGCCGGCTGTGCATGACATTTTAAATCACAATTGCGGTAGTTTAGTTAACGAAGTCCTCTAAGTTCAATTCCTTCAAAACAACTCCAATTGCTCGATTTATTCACTCTAAAGAGAGTTCTTTTTTAATAAAGAAGATATCTGTATCTTCTTGCATTAAAAAGTAGAAGAGAAAAGTTTAATTTCCTTGTATATGATCTAATTAACCCCGAGACAGAAACAAAATCATTGATCCGTTTTTTTTTTTTTTTTTCTGCACTTTATAATTCCATGAACAAGGCAAATGTCTAGCATCTAAAAATCTAAACAAAATACAAATAAGAAAATCGAATATAGATAGTACACATTAAACTATATATATATATATATATATATATATATAATACACCATTATACATGTCACTAATTAATTAATTAATTAAACAAGCATCTTCACCTTACATTATCTAATAACAATAAATCACAAAAGCAACGTCTTTGATCCCTTTCTTTTCTTACTTCTCATATTCTAAGTAAAAAAATACTGAGTTCAGGCCCTCCATTCCCTTCAGGATTCATCATATAAAACGCCTCTGAGTCACGACTTCCTACAACTCGCTCAAACTTAGCCCTCATATACAACAACTCACCTTCCCCACCACCGCTCTTCCGCCCATCCTCCACCACCGGAATTACTCCAGCACCAACGGAAACACTCTGCACAGTTCCAAGCACGTGCCAATCAGAATATGTGCACCTCCGCGACACGGCGTACCCACACTTCTTTCCATTACAATACATGGTCCATGTTGGTTCATTAAACAGCTTCCCCGGCCGGCCTGTCTGAACCTGAGGAGTACGAACCCTATCGCATTCCAGGGCGATCCTGACCAAACCTGACGACATTTCCTTAACTAACATTGCCGTAGAGATCGAAAGCTCGAGTAATAAGACCGGTTCCGAACCAGGATTATCCTGGACTGCGAAGCTGACATGGCCATGGCGATTCCCGAAGAGGGTTCCGGTGACTTTCCTGCCGAGAGAAGGGGTTATGGAGAGGTACTGAGATGGGATTGATAGCCATTTAGAGGTAGCGGGGATGATTATATTGGGGAAAGAAAGAATCTTGAAAATTGAACGAAAGAAACAAGTGAATCTTGAATAGCTTTTGGTATTATTAAGGCGTTGTAAGGAGACTGGAGAATCATGAACTTCTTGTTCAGGGATTGATCTCATGTAATTTGATGGGATTATCTTTCTTGTGCTTCTGCTACAGCTACTGTTTCTTTGAAGGGTAATCTGTTGGTGTTTCATGGTTTATAAATTTTCAGTGTCGGAAACAGAGGGAAAAATTAAAAAAAAAAAAAAGAAAGAAAGAAAAACTAGTCAGGATCAGAAGCCAAGGAGGTCGAACAAGAATACTTGTAGATGATATATGTTTTTGACAGAGAATTAAAGAGAGGTTAGAGATGGAGATGTTGAATCAAAGAGAAGAGCATATGGATTGATTTTGCTTAGAGAGAATTGGTAGGGGGAGAGAGGGAAGCTTGGGGTCAAGGGAGGAGAGGGAAAATGGGGGATTAAAGAGGCCGACAAGGTGATGATAGTGTTTGGAGGTGGGCGATATAAAGGAAGACTATGGAGTCTTGCGGTGTGATGATGATCCTTTCTTATACTCTTATATATACTTGCTGTGTTTTAACACTTTCATATGTTTCCTTGCAAAGCATCATTACGGCCCCTCATTCTCTAGGTGCTTTACACTATAGTCATTCGTGATCTCCACCCTTCATTATGTTGTGGGTCACGCCTTTTTTATTCAAACACATCATCTTAACCGTCAGTTCGACAATCACACAATTGGTTCCATTACATTATAGGTATCAACACATGATAAGGGATAACTTGGTATCTTTCAACCCCGATGAAAATTTTATTGAGGAGAGGACAGCATCTCTCTCTCTCTCACTCTCTCTCTCTCTCTCTCAATGGTTTTGGACCGTTTTTATATTTAGTTTTACATATGGACGTTAATCCTTTTTCCCAATCATATCTTAAACATATCATTTACTCTTGAATAGATTATAGGTTTTGATAGAAAAAAAGTTCTTAATATTCCCGTTTTAGATTCAAACAATGTTAAAGGAACAATACTTTAAAACACCACAAAGATTTATAGCTATATATAGGTTTTTATTATTAGTAAGATCATTTGTTTCTTAATAGCTTGTTATGATTTCTATATATATATTTTTTTTGGTTGAGAAAAGCTTGTTATGGTTTTTTTATGCGTGTATTGAACCAATTTAAGAGCATGGGCGAGTGGTGTATAGCTTAATTAATGTTGACTATTTGATTGGGATCATCAAGGTGGGCTATTTATTTAAACAAGATGGGACATATATATATATATATATAATTTTTTTCATTTCAAAAAAATTATTTATTATTTATTTTTATTTATTTTAAAATATTTATTTGGTTAAAATTTTAAATGTTATGTTTTTTTTAAATCCTAATTAAAATTCATCTTGTAAAAAAAATTATTTAGAAATAATAATATTATAAAAAATATAAATAAAAAGTATTGATATGACCTAGTAATTGGTACTTTTTAATTAATTTATATAAAAAGTCAAAGAAAATGATTTTTTGACGAAAAAAAAGTAGTATACTACCGTTAACGAGTATAATATGATTTTTTGAAGCAGAAAAAATAGTATAGTACTATTAACAAGCATAATAATCCTGCGCTCAATGGAAGTAGTCTAACAAAATCAAGAGTAAAAAAATACTATAATTATACACAGTTGTAATCAAGCTGAACTTACCAGGATCTCAAAGGACAAGTAATACTTGTTGGAAGAGGTGCTGAAGATTTGCCATTTGCATCTGATGTAATTGAATTTTGTATAGCCGTCTATTTGCTACGAAAAACGCTTGATGACATCATGAAGACATACATCATTTCTAAAAATAAAAAAAATTAAGAATAATTTTGAAAAATAAAAATATTAAATAACATAATATTCATTGAAATAAAGTACTATTCATTGTATTCCTCAAAAAAAAAAATATCCTTATAAAATTATGGTGATTTTTTTTTTTTTACATCACTGGTGTCATGTAATGCTATTCATTTACTATATATCTCTCAAATATGATCGACTGTGAACTTTTGAAATAGCTAGCAATTCAGTTGGGCTACTTTGAATAATATATCGATCCTTGATCCAGGAGTGCTCTGTTTCATGATTTCTAGATTGGTGCATGCATGATTTACACCTCTAATTTTGATAGATGCATTGCAATATTGAATTATTTTTAGATGATTAGTATCATTTTGTTTCATGGTCCATTAACATTAAATAAAAGAGGACCACTTTTCTTTAATTTCTATACAGGATGGTAGTTGGCACCATATTATTCCGTCTCTACATAACCAATTAGGTTATTGGAGACCATTTGAGACTGTAGTGATCAATAACTGAGTCGTTAGATTTTTTTCGAGAAGCTTTTCTAAAACCCTATAAAAAAAAAAAAAAAATTGGTATCGGGCGGAATTTTTAAATTAAATTAGTCCACAAAAATATTGCTGAACAGTTTGTTTCCTCTTATCAATAGAAAAAAAATTGTTTGTTTTTTAAAAATGAGATAATTACATAATAAATATATCAATTTTTAAAATTCTTCTTAATCGATTACACGAATTTTTATTTTTTAATTTTTATTTGAGTACGTTATTATTTTTAAAAATAAAAATCAAGTTTTTTTATTAATTGATAATGTGTTTTCTATTCCAAACTACTAAATTATGATTATATATGATTTTTTACTTTTGAGGAATATTTTTCTCATTATTCTCCCTTCTATTTTTTTCTTTTTGTATGCTAAAAATTCAAATTGTTCTTATATAAAAAAAATAAAAAAATAATATAATGATTTGGAAATAAAATTTTTCTTTAAAAATGAAAGGGAAAAATCATAATAATCAATATTCTACTAAATTACATCGCCATTACATTTTTTTTTCCTTTTTTTGAATAGTAATCTTTCTTTTCTAACAACCGAATCACTGAAACGGAAGTACACTTCGAGATTTGAAACCCTTCACACGTGGTGGGAGCTAAGACTTTTTGTTTGCAACTTTATTTGCGAGAGATTTTGTCAAGTACAGCCCTGTAAATCATATATGAACAAACAAACCTTTAGAAAATTGCAATATTCTTCTTTACCTTAGAGATTTGCAATATTTTTCATTACTGAAAAAATTATATATATATCATTTAAAGGGTAAATCGTACCAAAAAGTATCCACTCACATGGTTATGCTGCTATTATAATGACTTGTATAGATTGCAGCCATATATTATATGCAACTTCATGTATAAAAAAATATATACAGAGAGAAAGAGAAGTAAGTGACAAAAGGGTGACGAGCATGATGATGAAGGTCAATGCAAAAATATGTTCGTGAGAGGCCACATTGTCCCATTCATTTGGAAAGCCACTTAATAACCAATAATGTTTCTTATTAATTTTCCTCTTTATCTCTTTGGGACCTTATGTACGTACTAATCACATGTTAATATGATTTTATATTTATTTTTCATTCAGCAATAAAAATATTTTTAAATCAGTTTATCTCATAATCGCTTCCAAAAGATCTTAAGATTTTACTTTATATATCAACTTTGTATATTTAGAAAACCTATTAAGTTTTTTCAGATGTTGGACTTAAAATTTAAATCTAACAAATTATAAAAATAAAACAAACCTCTTTAATCATGAGGCCAATTTCTTTAGATTAATAAATTAACCATCATTGATTAGTGTATTCAAATGTAACAATAAACATTTTGGACGGTTCCAACCTTTTTCGTGCTTTATTTAATGACCAAATTTCATTGGTGGCCTAACCCATGCACACATAATTATTTTGCGCATGCCACGTGGACAATATTAGCAGTAGCCAACCTTTCTCTCCTTTTCGTTATGCATGCATAACATGTCATCTTCGTTTAACATCTACATCACCACTAATATATATATATATATATATATATATATATATATATATATATATATATATATTAATGTATTAATTAGAAGGGGATTGGTTTTTACAATAAAGAATCTCATATCATTACTTCAATAAATTATGGTTTGGGTTTTATTAATTAGCCAACAAAAGATTATTAAGGGTTTTTCCTTTTTTTAATGATAGAAAAGGGCCTACAATTGACGTGTGCTTGATTCTCAAGCCAAGGCCACGAGGTAGAATATATTGGACAATTGAGCATTGTTTTGCTCTCTAATATTTGAAATATAATGTCTTGGTCTTCCAGAAGAAGTTGACTCTCGTTTATAATTGACTTCTGAGATTAAAAATTAGTAGAAAATTGGACTAATATTTAAGAAATAAATTTTGGAGATGTACGCCTTGTCCTGGTCTTTTTTTTATGTAATTTTATTTATTAAATATTTGATGAGAATAAAATAATTAGATGAAATTATTTGATGATAACAGTAAGTGTTGTGTTTTTTTATAATAATAAAAAATTATTTGATGACAATTTTTTTATTAGAAATGACAATTGAAGAAATTAATTTTAAATAATAAGTGTTGTGTTTTTTCTTAACTGCAAAATTTATGACAAACATAAAGATGAATAAATTAAATACAAAATTTTGATTAAAAATTATGAAATTAGATGAATTTTTTTCTTTAATCTTATATATTTTAGTTGATCAATAATATAGCATATATTATCAAATTGAGATAAAGATATTTTGTTTGGGCAATAGCATAGTTGGGAAAGCCAACTTGTACAAAATATTACAATTCATCAAATTCTGTGGGTGTAATAATACATGTATAAAAAGAATTGCCCAAACTATTAGAATTCATCAAATTTTATGGGGGCAATAGTGCATGCATAAAAGGTACTGCCCAAAAATTTGTAGGGGCCAGCTGGTCTCTTATAGACTCCCACCGCCACTGATATATATATATATAAGCAAAGAATCATCACCTCCTCTTTGTAAGTAAAGATGAGATTCGCAAAAGTTTCCTTGCGCTTCAGTTTATTTATTTATTTATTACGTATGCAGCATTCTTTTCATAATGTCAAAATTAAGAAGGATCTATTATTTTTTTCCTTCTTTCTCTTCAATTTTTTCTTATAAATCCTAACAAAAAACCTATTCAATAACAAAACACATTAAAAAAAATTAAAATTATACAAAGTTGGATTAATAATGCATAAATCAAACTGATATCTAAGAAAAATTACATAGATTATAATTTCTTT